ATTTTTTTTCATATTTAAGTATAATCTAGCAACTGCACATCTTTTAAAAATCATAGAGTACATTAAAAGCTTGAAAATTACTTTAAAACATCCTAACCCAAAGAGCCTACCTTACAGAACCTAGAAGAATGGCTCACTAGGTAGTCTTTTATCCCTTCCCCAAACACTCCTAAGTTCCTCCCACAAAGTAAATGAGAAATAAACCTTACTCCCATGACCCCTAATATACTAAGCTGAAATTAAACAAAATAATCATTAAGTGCTTCCAGTTATTAAAAACAAAAACAGTGCTAATAATGGTGCCCAAGAAAGTGCGAAGTGATTTAATATGGTATATTCCCACCATGAATGCCAGGCAGATCTGAATGGTTCTAYTGGCTAGAACTCTGGGCCAGCCACAGGGCATTCCACTCCATCCCTACCCCATCCAGGAGATCCCAGGCCTGTCTGAGCATGGCTCATAATCCTTGGAAGAGAGAGAACCAGAGCGGGCCTTTATGAGATGGGAATGAGGAAAAGCTGAGACCATTCAACCCAGAAGCCCTCCTTTGCAGTTCTGTTAATGCTGTTTGTGTACAGTTTAAATGGGGTAAATTAGCACAAAACTAGAATTCCTCCACTTTTTATATCAATCCATGGTCGAATTCTCTGTATGGTAGACACAGTATTTCTAATATAAATCTCCTTTTTGAGAAACTTAACAACCCAGTCAAATAAAAATTTTCACAAAAGCAAACAGAAATGTAGAAATTTTAAGAAAAGACATCCTTATTAGCTCAATAATATACAAACATAAGGGAAGAGTTTAAGATGTTTCGAGTACAACATATTTCAGTGCGGTATTTCTAAAATGTTAGCAAGCAATTAGTCTTTAAGGCCCATGATTCTGTGTATTTAAAAACTGAAATGTGYAAGACATTAATCTTTAAAAAGTAGCAACTGCAAAATGCAGCAAGTTTTTTTTTTAAATTTTAGTATAAAATAAACTAGGAGCCATCCTAGTTTAGAGGATAATATATGATCCCTGTGAAAAACAGATTTATACACACACTCTCTCAGTCCATACATCAGTATATACATACACATACATGTACTTGGCTAATAAATCAGAATGGTTTAGAAAGAATATTCTAGTCTCCCAATTAAATATTTCAAAGTAAAGTTTTAAATCTCATAAAACTCCCTGATGTGTATTACACACAAAAATTTAGCATTCAAGAGACTTCTATGTTTGTATCCTTYGTGAATGTCCTAGTAAGAGGTTTCATTTAAAATTATGTGGGGCTGGGAGTCTAGTTCTGTGGTACAAGGCCTACGTGATCCCCAGCACTGCAATATAAAATAAAATAATGACAACAACAGCTTGAATTTCCTGGCTTCTGTAGGAAGTTTAAAGTCAACATTTCCCCTCTCACACAAACCTCCAGGTTTCCATCTTTCACAATGGCTAAGTATGAACGGCAGCATTCTCAAAATGGCTGCTCTTTGGCAGGCTATCCAGGTATCTCTCTGTTCAGAAAAGCAGCTTGAAGACCCTGGCAGCTTCAGATGGAGCATTGGTAAGCCACTTACACCACCACCACCACCACCACCACCACCACCACCACCACCACCACCACCACCACCAATTCACCTCTCAGATCTGCTGTGTTTATTATAGTCAAAACACAACTTTGATAGTGGCAGGTTCTACCAAGAATGAGAAGTGAAATCAAGCACCTCCTGTTCTTGCTTAATACAGTACCACCACCACCACCACTCGCAAAGAATTCTAGACTCCAAGATTAAAACTTTTTCTTTCAGTGAGGATGGTTCTCATGTTAAAACAGGGCACCTGTTTCAGGCAATGCCAGCATTGATAACAAAAACAAAACATTTATTTGTTGATCCCAGACCAAAAAAATAATTAAAATACTTTCCACAGAATGCTTCTCTGGTCAGAGCACCTGCTGAAGAAAGACAATCATGGTTGACCTTCACTTCATTCAAACTACTGTGGCCTGGACATTTAACAGCCTGGTTCCAGTTTAGAAATACTATATTCTATCACATCCTCAGATAATAGGTACATCTTTCTAACTTTCCAATTGGGTTTGGTGGTTCATTCAGAGCCCCAAGTTTCTGCCCAGCAACCTGCATTATCTCCATAATTGTTTCTACACCTYAGAAGGGCACTTCAGCACAATTCTAGATTTCTGGGGGTAAATAAAACATATATAGTAAATAAAGCAATAAGCAGAACAGACCCATCAAGAAAAGAATTCCTTCAGATACTATATCTCTCTTTCTCCCTCATGGGCGCTCTCTCCCCCTCTCTCTCTCTCTCTCTCTCTCTCTCTCTCTCTCACACACACACACACACACACATTTATTAATACAACAAGAAAATGGAAATTGTTATATATCTTAGCATAAAGAAATCTGAATGTTAGTAAAATATAACACAAGAACAAAAGAAGTTTTTAAGCACACTTGATACAAAGATGAAAGAGATAACAAGCTGTCAGAAATAATATGCATGACGCATACATGTTACTTTAGTGTAGTGGTATATAACAACAGAAACACATGAGAGTTTTTCATAGGAAAGTTTCTGTTTTCAAAAATTTACTGATGAGGGGTATGATAAAAATGACTAGAGACTGCTGGGGCATGGTGGCACATATCTGTAATCCCAGTGTGTAGTTRGGAGGTTGAGGCAGGAAGATCATAAATTTAAGGCCAGCCTCAGCAACTTAGTGAGACCCTGTTTTAAAATTTAAAAAGGACTGAGGATGTAGTTCAGTGGTAGAGAACACTTTTCTGAAATATCACTGAGTGTCTAAAATTGATAGAAACATAAAGTTACCTTTTAAAACTTTGGAATTATAATACAAATTCTAAAATCAGAATGAAACAATGCTACCAGAGTAGACATTGCCCAATGTTGGTGGGAACAGGACTGTGGTGATACCATAAACAGCCKGGAGTTACAGCTCCAGAATTCCAAGTCTCAGATTTAACAGCCAGTCAATGCCTTTTTTGATCTCTAATATAGCATGCAAATAAATCTTCAAGGAATTTCCCCCATTATTAAAAAAAGGAAGGAAGGAAGGAATTCAGTAGCCTCATGGCTTACTTTCCCCACCAAAAAAAAAAAAAAAAATTTTTTTTTTTTTGATACTGGGGATTGAACCCAGGGGCACCTAACCACTGAGCCACATCCCCCTTTTTCATATTTTATTTAGAGACAGAATCTCGCCAAGTTGCTTAGGGCCTTGCTAAATTGCTGAGACTGGCTCTGAACTCTTGATTCTCTTGTCTCAGCCTCCCCTTCTGCTGGGATTACAGTGTGTGCTATCACACCTGGGTCCACACCAAAATTTGAAAAAAAAAATTACACCTAGATTTTAATTGCCAAAATGTGTGTGGGGGGGAAATAACCTAGATTTTAAAGATTAGAGCTTATGATTGACCTTTAGAGAATCTCTTAGATTCTTCAATTACGTATAAACTTTTTTTTTTTAAAGAAAGTTTTCCTTTTGTTCAAACATACAAAGTATGCCATGAGAAAGATAACATCACAAAAGCACTATGATGAACTGTGAGAGGAAAAAAAAAAAGATTTAAACAGTGGTGCACACTAGTTATCCCAGTGACTCGGGAAGCTGAGCAGGAAGACGTCAAGTTTGAGGGCAGCCTGGGCAACTGAACAAGACCTTGTCTCAAAATAAAAAATAAAAAGGGCTGGGGATACAGCTCAGAGGTAGAAGGCCCTTGGGTTCAATCGGTAGTGTCAGAGGAAAAAAGTTACTAAAGTCAAGACATGAGATTTTAATTTGGTAATTTTACAAATCAGCATATAATTAAAAATTATTTTAAACGTGAAAATCCACCCAGAGGTGGAATAAATGCAGTGGTTTGTTGGCACTGACTCTGGGTCAACTATGAATATCCCTTCTCAACTCCATGGCAGTGGCTTAAAATCAGCCCCAGTGGAGTAATATACATCAAGAAAATTGATAAATTCCATAAATTCAGGGGTTCCCCTGGCCACCTCAGAGATTCTGGCTGCTAAACATTTTCCAGCAGATGACTAGAGCAGAAGAAGTGATCACAGAGGACATCCCAAGGCCCTGGCAGCCTGCTCCTCTCCTTTGACTTAGGCTACCGTTGYCCACCAGCAATTATCCTAACAAAGTGACTACTGAGATACCAGCTGCAGCCACGAAACACATCTCCCCAGTGAATACTCATCTTAAGTCATATGTTTTTTTGTTTTGTTTTTTGATATTTGTTTTAGTTGTAGATGGACACAATACCTTTATTTTATTTATTTATTTTTATGTGGTGTTGAGGATTAAACCTAGTGCCTCACACTTGCTGGGCTACCTCTGAGCCACAACCCCTGCCCCATGTGGTATGTTTTTGATGCTAAGAATTGTTCTTAGACTTTTCCAGGAGGGAGGCTGTCTCAGAGCCTCACACACTTGCTAAGGTTGTAAACCTTGACTTAAAAAAGGACACACAGACATGGACACAGACACACACACACTCATGCACGCAAGCGCTTCCCCAACTTAGTTGATCTCAAAGAGAAAGCAGAGCACCATCTACCTCCTAAGGCCTCACACCTCTCAGAGGATTCGGCGACAGACTAAAGCAAAGGAGACCTGATGTTAAAACAGCTTCCTAGGGAAATGCCTTGAGTTTTAATGGTGCCAAGGTACCTTTGTGCTGAGACAGAAAATTATCAAATATATCATCTGTGAAAATAAACCAATGGCTTTTCTCCTTTAACTCAAAGATTAAAAAAAAAAAAACCTTGGGCTGGGGATGTGGCTCAAGCGGTAGCGCGCTCGCCTGGCATGCATGCGGCCCGGGTTCGATCCTCAGCACCACATACCAACAAAGATGTTGTGTCCGCCGAGAACTAAAAAATAAGTATTAAAAAATTCTCTCTCTCTCTCTCTCTCTCTCTCCTCTCTCACTCTCTCTTTAAAAAAAACAAAAACAAAAACCTTTGTGCTTTCAGAATTTAAAACATCTATTTAAATCAACCATCAATAATTAATTACTATACAAAATGTTAGCCTAATAAAACTATTCCAAAGAGCTGCTCAGGGATCTAATTTAAAACAGGTATGAAAGCTAAATAATTCAATATGGGAAGAAAGTCCAATGTCTGTTCCCATCACTACTGACCACTACCTTCCAACACTACTATTGCACATCTCAGGAACAGAACGTTCAGCTGGTAAMTACCAACAAAGTAGTAACAGGTCCCCAACACACACCTTCAGAGGCAGCTCATCGAGGACTTTCCTTCCACTGCTAATGAGATAAGATAGCACAGTATGTTACACAAAAGCTTTTCTACACGGTATGTAAATAAAACTTAAAGCAAATAATGTGCATCTGGAAGATGCTGGCTTGTAACAGTGTCATGTTGAGCCCTCAAGTCTTACTCCCTCATTCCACTTAGTTCCCATGATTCAACTACAAGGTTAAGAGACTAGTTTAATGGGCACAGTGGTGGTGGAAGCATGTTAATTTAGTCCTGGACTTTAAAGCCAAACTTCTCAAAAGATTCCACTGTGATACTGGTGTAACTCAGTCTGGGAATCAAGCTATCTGTCCACACCTGGCATTGACTTACCTAAGGTAATATTTTATAAATCTTATAATATAGAGATGAAGGTCTAACAATGCAATCACTATGTCTGAGCATTGCCAAATGAAATCTGTTCTTCCCTAAAGAGAGAGAGAGAAACTGAAAGAAACAAGCACATCTTTGTCTCACTACTGATTAGAAGGCTTCTCTTTGCAGTCTACCTTCCTAATTACATCCGAACACTGTCACAACCCCTAATAACCTCTGGTTTAAAAGGAAAGATGCTAAATATACAGCAGGAAATGGGGTAAACCAGATAGGAAGGAGCAAGATTCTTTCTCTTTGGCTATCTTCTAACTGGGAAAAGCCCCATGTGTTGCTTCAAGGTAATCAAACCTTTAATTTAGAGATGCTTCCAATTTTCAAAACCCAAGTCCACCCTCCTAGAAGTCATCATGTGCCATGCTGYATTCTATGGGTATGGAATCACTGTTTAGAGAGAAGACGTTACTGTGCTAGATGTCTGTGTGTATGGGGGGGGGGGGTGTCCCCACAGTCTCACTGAATGTTCTAAAAACCATATTATACCCTAAGTTGAATATCTTATGTTGAAATAGACTAGCTCTAAGCCCTGTTGACAGGTCCAGAGAAGACCATGCATGTAGCTAAGAGACCCACCCAGAATAAATGGAAATAAGATGCCTTTCTTTGGAGATAAGATGCCTTTCTTTGGAGTTGCTTATACATGTTGCAGTTCGCACAAAACAAAATCTCCTCCGTAGTACTACACCAATCTTACTGTGTATGAAGAGGAATGGTTCTTTTTCTCCCACTGCTTTAAAAAACTCACATTTACTCATTCAACAGAGCACACTTAGTCCTAAAGATATGGCCAATTTCATTTACCTAACATTTCTTTAATTTTTTTCTCCTGGTCAATGGGTCCCAATGGCCAGGAGTTAACTCTATTCTTAACCACTCTTGCAAAGCATTGCTGCTAAACCCCACCAAAATTACTTTAACACAAAGCTCAAAATATAAAAGAAAAAAAAAGAAGAGAGAGGGAGGTTTGACTCCAATTAAGGCATTTTTACATATAATCCAAATTGAGTCCYAACGGGAGGGAATCCTAAAAAGGTATTTCAGTGGGAAATGACAAAAATCACAATTGTATATTATCAGCATTGTAGAACTATGGATCTCTCACTTCAAACRCAATCATGTCGAGTGTCTATTTCTTTGTTCCTTGGTTCTCTCACTTCACAAGTKCGTAGGTTATGTCTTCTGCAGGTCTGGGGAAAATGGGCCAGGAGTAGAAGGTCCATCCAGGCCAGAAAGAGTGAACGGCCCATGACTGTTCAGTACAGAAGGAAACTGAGAAAGAAAACAAAAACACTTTATCATCTTACTACTCAGTCCCAACTTTCACTTTGTTTCTACTATATTCCCTAAGGCAGAACACAGAAAACAGACTTTGCAGTGGCTCACAGGATAAAAGCAGTAACTTCATCAATAAGTATATGATACCATAATAAAACCTTAAGTGTTTGTCCTAACATTCTAAGTATTAACTCTCTCCATACAACCTCAACAGAATGGAAATAAAGAACAAACCTTTACATTTCATTATGTCAAGATAACGTAGGTTTACATTTAACCTCAAATGAAAGTTTTAGAAAGTTAACTAAATGACAATATGCACCTTAGAGTGTTATTCAGTTATAAAATAAAACATGAACCCTCAAAAAGAAGTCCAGAAAGAGAGGGTGCTCATTTAGAAAAGCATTCCTTTCCCATCACATATTCTGAGATCACCCACTTAGGAAGATTCTAGGCTAAAGCTACAGAAGCACTACCACTTTGCCCAAATTATGTGCTCAGGAGAAGCAAAGAAAAATTTAAAAATAAAATATGGAAGATTCTCAACACTTTTCCCATTTAATAATTCAGGAATTTTTTTTTTTTTTTTTTTGGGTAGGGAACAAGGTGGGGGTAGTATGGGGATTGAATCCAGGGGGGCTAAACCACTAAGCCATATCCCCAAAGCTTTTTATTTTTTTTGACACAGGGTCATGCTAAGTTAC